CAGGTAAATAATGAGGGACAGGGACCGATGTTTGTTTTGCAAAAAAAGCAATCATGAAGGATGAAATTTCTTTTTCATTCAGACCTTAAGCCATTATTTCTCATAGCCTCAGATCCGACGTGTCCTAACCGGCCAACCTATGCAATGAAACACAAGGAATCGTGACTCCGCGGCACCAGTTTCCAGCTCCCAGCATAAAACTTTCCCACTCTAGCTCTAGTATCGCTTACCCTCCCGCAGTGTGTCGGCATACTCGTCCAGGGGGCTCTTGATGAGCTTGGTCTCCTTCCAGAGGTTGGGGGTAAGGAAGCCGTAGGTGTTGGAGACGGCCACAAAGGTAGCCTTGAGGGTGTTCTCGAGGGTCTTTGTGGAACCGGCGGAGGAGGTGTAGGCGTCCTCGACACCGGCGAGCTGGAGGAATCGCTTGACAGCGGGAGAGGCAACGAGGCCAGTACCACGGGGAGCGGGGATGAGCTATATCAACAGTCAGTTTTTCCATGTTCTTTTGATTCGAGGATATTCGCTTCTTTGGCTGGGTGTACATACACGGACGGTGACGGAACCGCACTTGCCAGACTCCTTGCAGGGCAGGGAGTGAGGCTGACCAAGGTTGGTACCCCAGTAACCTCGTCGCACGGGGATGACGCTGAGCTTGGCAATGATGATAGCGGCACGGATGGCGGTAGCAACCTCCTTGGAGGTCTTGATGCCGAGACCGACGTGGCCCTCGGAGTCACCAATGATGACAATGGCCTTGAATCGGGTTCGCTGACCGGCACGGGTCTGCTTCTGGACGGGCTTGATCTGTAGTTTGTGAAATGACGAGTTAGCAAGCCGATTTCCCCTTCCAATAATTGTGTGTTTGCGTATTGCTCGAGTTGGTGTTTTCGCTTCGTTCTAGGGCTTTCTTCGAGTGATATATTCAGGAAACTGTGATTCGCACCTTCATGACCTCATCCTTGAGCTTGGGCAGGAAGTTGTCGACAATCTGGTACTCCTTGATGGGCAGAGAGTGAAGGTAGATCTCCTCCATGCTGTTGATCTTGCCGGCCTTGACCAATCGACCGAGCTTGGTGACGGGCTGCCACTCCTTCTCCTCGTTCTTGCCGCGACCACGACCACGGCCACGTCCACGTCCTCGGCCGCGATCACCGCCTCGGGATCCGAAACCACCGCCGCGAGAAGCTCCACGATCAGCCATTGTGAAGGATTTTTGTTGTTTTGCGCTGGAGGGGGGTGGGAGGCAAGATGTGGTCTGCGCAAGAGCAAGATGCTGCTGTTGGTGTTGGCGATACTGGAACTTTTTGGCCCGGGCCAGGTGGGGTGGATAACGCACATAATTTTTGGTTGTTCACGTTAGCGAGCCCTAATTGGAATTGGAGCCTTAATTGTTAGGCCGTAGTTAATTGAGTGTGGTGGGGGTGGATCTCACCTTGATTCTCACCGAGAACAGGATGGTCCAATTCTCGGTGTGAACAAGCCACCCCGCCCATCATGAGTGATCGGCAATACAACATCCCGGTCCGATACAGTCAATTTAGAGACTCAGACTTAGACGTAGACTCAATATTGACAATTCCATCAGTCAATTGCTTCACACGTATACACACACACATATATATACTGAAAGACAATGCAAAAGTGTGGGGATGCTAGAGGACAACCATAAGCCATTTTTCTCGTCCTTAAACGGACACCTGAACCAGACATAGAACTAAACCACGGAGGGGAATTGGGAATTCAGCTCTTCTTTCTCTTCGTACACGCCTGTTCACCACAGGCCATCATTAATGAGGGTATCGCAGCTCGACTACTCAGTATTCCGCCATCTTCCAGACCAGACACCAAGTCACATTACTCCTTCGTTGTCTTGACAATCAAGTTTTCTGAAGGTTGCACCCGTTGAGCCCACTCACTGTTACATATTAGCATAATTCATATCATGATTTTTCAAATGAGGCACTTACGTCCAACTGCCATCGTAGACCCTCCTGGACTCCGGGGAACCAACGCCAGCCTCCTCAAGAGCAGTATCAATAACACAGGCAGTCACACCAGTACCGCAACTTGAGATGATAGGTTTTTGAGGGTCAACACCCTTCTCCGCAAACAGCTTTTTGAGTTGATCCTTGGGGAGGAAAGCCTTGGTTTCAGGGTCCAGGACAGAGCTGAAAGGGATGTTGATAGATCCAGGAATATGACCAGAAGAAAGGCCCTCGCGGGGCTCAGGGGATTCGCCGGTGAAACGTCCATGGGGTCGGGCATCGAGAATTTGAACGCCCTCAGCGCCCTCCTTGTTGTGATCCTGTGCGACTTCCTTGACCTGCTCGAAGCTTGCAACCCGGCTCTCCTCCATCTCGGGGATCTGGTAAGGATAGCATTCGATGCTGTAGAGTTCTCCTGACTCGGTAGGCAAGCCCTGGTCCACCCACAGCTTGAAATTGTTTAGTACGTGAACCTTGTCATGGCCGAAAACCTTCATGGTCCAGCCCACACGCGGTGCGCTGAAAATACCAAGCTCCTTGCTGTCGTACACCACCACAATGTCCTCTTTTCGGATACCCAACTCGCTCATGGCAGCAGCGAAGCCTTTGGGGTTAGGGAGCATGTGAGGATAGGGACTGCGCTTGTCAATGACCTTATCTAGGTCAAAGAACCGGGCCTTGGGAATTCTCTGTTCGCGAAACGTTTGGATACCGGATCGGCCATCGTTGGGGAGAAACCATGATGCGCAGAGAGGAATTACTCGAGGATCGGTGCTGATCGGAGACGGGGGGTTCTTCTTGAGGGCTTCGTGAAGCTCTTTCGGGGTAACGAGATAGGATGAGAAGTTTCGGCGGGTGAGCAGGGAAGGTCGGAAAACCTTGGAGCCCCATTGAGGAATGCCAGCTCTTGTTGAGCGGCAGAACGCGATAGACGCCATCGTAAAGATGTTGTGTTTCGGATATGAAGAGGTGGTGGGAGTTCGTCGGACTCAGTGACTTGACGTAGGGCAAGTTCCTGAGCGATTGATAAGAGTCAGAGCCAAACGAAATATAAATTCGCAGGCCAGACACTGTAGGAAAAGACAGTTAGCAAAAGGCTTAACTGTCCGTCTACGTCCTCATTCGTCGGCGGGATTAGTACCGCAAAGAATTGTCTGGTGGGCTTGACGTGAGGCGAGTGAGGTTGATGACGAGAGGTTAACGACCAATCGAGTCAACTTTGAATGCATGATACCTTTCGCGCAAGTGCGGGCGAGGTTGGCGAAATCGTGAGGAGCTTGGACCACCTCCATCAGTCATTTCCAACGGTGGGCGATGACGGAGTCGGAGGGGTCTCTACAGCGGACTACAGCTTGTTCAGTGGGTGACTCTCAGCGGATGAGGTCACTGAAGCGCCAAACGGATAGGCGCCCACCCACCAGTACAGCCCAATCCACTTGGTTGGAGTCTTGGACCTCTCACCTTGTCAGCCTGGGCTCATGTGCCTCCCCCACGTCAACGTTAGTGCTTCAAACCTTGACCCTTTCTTCACTCTCAAAGGTTGCACGGCCACTTCGAGTCTCGATCCTAGCCCCAGAAATCCTCATCTCTACAATATCGATCCCGTGACTTTTCTCCCTCAAAAGCATCATGAAGGTCACCATCAAGAAGTGGAATACGGTCGCTACTTGGCGCTGGGATATACCTGAAGACGATGTTTGTGGTATCTGTCAGGTCCACTTTGACGGGACGTGTCCGACATGTAAATACCCAGGCGACGATTGCAGCCTGTGTAAGTAAACATCAGACCATCTTGATAAAGATAAACTCTACTAACGCAATATTAACCTCAGTGTCGGGGAAGTGCGGTCACAACTTTCACATGGTTCGAGTTCACCTTATCTCTATCTCTCTGTTATCTTGAATATTTACGTGCTGACTGTGACGGTGTTTGTGTTTAGCACTGCATATTGGAATGGATCAAACAAGATTCATCAAGAGGGCAATGCCCCATGTGTCGTCAACGTACAGCCCCCAACTTGCATTTTCAACCAAATCAGGCTGACCTTTATTTTCAGGATTCGAGTGGAATGAACAACTGAAGGAACCAGTCACGCAAGCCGAGTAAGGATGCTCGTACATGATGTTATGCAAGGCGTCGGGCGTTTTTCAGGGCATACATAGAATTTGGCGTCAGGCATACCCGAAATGGACTTGGGCAAATCGATTCAGCCGCTTACTGGTTGGTTTATTGGCACATTTTGTGAGTTGTGCTGTTACATGCAAGTTGGTGAGCCATGCACAACTCAGCTACTAGTGTGAGGGAGCCCACAGCCTCAATCAAGCTGACTGTGCCATGCCAGTCAGTCAAGCCTTGATAGCCTGGACATTCCCATGACAGCCCCGAGACAGTCTCTCAACTCTGCCAACTGTCCTTGTTCACTCTTTGAGGCTCTTTGAGAAGATCTTGTCTCTTTTGACGGATTATCACCATTATCTGGGCTTCGTTGAACTCTCATTTTGATCGATTGACGGACCAATTGTCTCTGAAGCCAGGGATCCATAACCACTGCCCTTGCCTTGGAAGGATTCAAAAGCCAAGACTGAAGAGCCGCTCTCAGTCCCTTGTGACTCAAGACTTATCTTGGACGTAAGGGACTTTGGGGGCTGTTAAGTTGCACTTCAGAGGGTCCCGTTGCCTTGCTGCCATCTCAGCTCGTGGTTCGCAACCAACCACACACAACTGCGCAGCTGCGCAAAGGCCTCCAGGTTTAAATACGAGCTTAGTCCCCTCAGGATCTCATTTTCGCCTCTCCCCATTCCCGGCTCATTAAACGAGATCTTATTTCCATTTAACCTGAAACCTAGTTCAGAAGATATATATACAACACATATATATACCTTATCGTAACTAGTATCACTTGGCTAGCGCCGTACAACAATATAAATCAGTTTATCCAACAAGAAGCTACCGTCTATAAATAAGCTTCGCCTCAGATCAACAAAGGCGATTTCCTCTACCAACAAATCGTCTCAATGTACTCGTACCCTACACCTTTACCCGAATTCACTGCCCAATCTCAATCCCAGGATGGTCTGCATAATAGACCAGTGGCCAATTATCCCTGGGCAGTGCAAGGAGGTCTCAGCGCCATCAACACCAATGTCCGTCCACAATATGGGTTCTCGGAGTCGCCTTTGCCTATGAGTTCCTCAACCAATGGTTACTCAAGCTACAACACGGCTCTTCTCAGCCAACCCACTTTCAGTCCTTATCCAAGCTTCTCGCCAGCTGGTGAATGGTCATTTTCCAGGCCTCAGCACGGCTCATCGTCGCAAACCGTCGTTCCAGCGACTAACACCGAAGCCATCAAAGTTCTGATCAAAAGATTTGGGTGGCTATGGTTGCTGCTCAAGGTCAGATCAAAACTTCGAGGCTCAGGTCGAAGGCATCAACGTCGACACAGTGCTTCGGATTACACATCACGGACAGCTGGCCACAACAATGGCCGCTATTTGGCATCGTCAATGAGTGTGTCCTTTGCAGACGATGTAGCGTTGGGCAACTTAGTCACTGGGGACGAGGCCGATCTCTTCAACCCCATTGATTCCACAAATCATGTGTGGTTTGATAATGCTCTGGGAATACTCACCGGTGATGGAAACTCACCGTTCCCGGTGCCAGCGGATGTGCCACGACCAGCCACAGTTCTCTTTGAAGAGGATGTCACGGCTCCAGTTCCGGAACAAAGACTCATTGAGTGTCTGGATGAGACAGTTCCACCAATCAATTTCATGAACCAGCCTCAACAAGACGTTGTCGCCTCTGGCCAGTCAAAAAAGCGATCTTTTGACTGTGTTGAGCTCGATGATTCGTCAACGGACGAAGCTGACGGGACGTCTGTGGATAAGAAACGATCCAAGACGACTTCTACAGCACCACGATTTGCCTGCCCCTTTTACAAGAATGACCCAGAACGCTATGCAAACACAAGAAGTTGCTGCGGGCCTGGGTGGGAGACGGTCCATCGAGTCAAGTAAGTGATATTCACCTCAAAGCATCCAGGAGTAGACTGACATGTCTCCAGGGAACACATCTTCCGCAGTCATACACACCCAGAACATGAGTGCCAGCGCTGCTTTCAGTCTTTCAAGACAGAGTTGAAGCTCTCTAAGCATTTAAGAGCCTCTCCGCCTTGCGAAGTCCAAAGTCGCAATACCCAGGAGCATGATGGCATCAACGCAAGCCAGTCTAAGGCACTGCATGCAAGAGCCCGAAAATGCGACCCTGGAGCAGATCTCAAAGAGGTCGAGGAACAAAGATGGAATGATGTTTACAAGATCATCTTTCCCGGAGGGGGCCTGGTGCCTACGCCGTGTTAGTGTTCAACCACATACACTGCAAGAACTGAGAGCTAACAATGCCCAGACTACGATCGCTTACAGAAGAGCAACAATGATGACTTTGACACGAACCTCATGTCTGATTTTGAGCAGCGTATTCAAGGCAAAGTCGGGGAGATGAAGAACCTGCAACCTACACTGGCACCTCTGATGGTCCAGCTAGCTTGCAATACACTCAGGGAGAGTATGCAATCTTGCCGACAGAAGCCACAAGACGGTAGCAGTCAAGGCTCAAGCTCTATTGTGTCTCCGACACAAGAATTCCAGTCATTTCTTGATGGGGGGCTTCAGATGACGGGCGTTAACGAGAATTTTTTGCGGCGCCTAGATAGCCAGTACTTCATGCAGGCGTTAAGGGATTCTGGTTTTGATTTGTGATCTACAGGCTTTGCGAGCCTATGGAGATGACGAAAAGGAGGATTTGAGATACCAATTTGATTTATGAGTTGGGCTTTTGTATTGCCATGCGGGCCATGAGATCATCACCAACGGAACAAGATAGACGGAAGGGGTCAGACTTGGCGTTTGAATTCGAATATTCCATTTCGTTCTCATCAAACTTTGTAGATTGAGTTAACAAAGCCGAGTCTCATTGTGATGTAACTTTGCAATTCATTGTGTTTGTCTATTAGGTAGTTCAATGTTGTCAAATCAGATGCCTACCTACCTTATTATACTTCATAATGTCGGAGAGGAGTATCCATACCAAGTCATGCATGTGTTCATTTTCAACCCATCTGACTGGCTGATAATGACGCTTGTCCGTTTGTTGCCTTCGCTCATGCATGGTTCGCCCGCCGATGAGAACCTGCGCAATTGCGAATTAATTCGGTAATCATATATAGAACATACGACCCTTGAGTTGTTCAACAACCCGTTATTATCTTACTTCTCGAATCTTTATGAATAATTAGTCGAGAAAATCAATTCCACTGAATATTGTTTCTTTTTGCGTATTGAGATAACAACTACCTTCTTTCCAATTTGGGCTCAGCGTTACAAGCAGCATGTCTGGCATGAGGCACGACGACGAGATGGCTCCTACGGATATGTCAACGCCGCGAGAGATTATCGACTTCTTAAAAAGAATCCAGGGGCCATGCTCGAATGAAAACAAAGCGGTTTGCAACACTGAAAGTTCAACTAGCTGGGGGTTTGTGTCGACAGATAGTGGTTGCTTCTGTTCAGCTGGGAATACGAATGAACTCTGCACTCATGCTTCGTTCGAAGAAGCCTCTGAGTCTGATTCTGATTCATCCGAAACTGAAGACTATCCGCTTGTAGACTGTCTTCCTCGGAATGAGAAGCTGTGCGAATATCACCAGAATTATCAGGATGTTGATTCCTCTCAAGTCTCCGACAATTCTTCAACTCCAGAATCAATTCTTGAGGCTAGTACACCCATAGTAGTACCTTGTAGTACTTCAGAGTGCGGCTATTGTCGAGAGGCATCGGCAGATAGTGCCGAAACATGCTACAGCAGCGATCAAGCCTCCTCCTTTTCGGCAGTTACAGAGAGGGGAAAGCATCAGCTCGTCGTTCAAGTAATGGCGAGGCTCCAAGAATGGCTAGAGGTGATGCTGAGGAGACACGGGAATCAGAAGAGTCGGTCAGATTCGAGTAGTGGTTCTACACCAGTTGTTGGGGCAGCCAGTCGTGCTGGGGAATCAACAGACAGTCAACCCCGAAGAAAGCGCCAGAGAAGTGGTTCTGATGATGGCTTTGGAGAGGATGATAAGACGCCAGATCGAGCGCAGAAGAAGCGCGGGAAAATCAGTGATTCTGCTGAAATCAGATATGTTTGTCCATTCTTCAAGCATAATCGTGAGAAGTACAAAACATCTCAGTGGAAGAGCTGCTGCTGGCCAGGGTGGACGTCTGTTCATCGAGTCAAGTGAGTCCAGTCTACCTCCTCAATGGAAGCCAAGATCTAACAACATGTTCAGAGAGCATCTCTATCGGCGACACATGCTTCCCAAGTTTCGCTGCAACAGATGCAGGCAAGACCTGAAATCAGCTTTCAACCTTAACGAACATCAACGAGCGGAAGCGACCTGCCAGATACAGAGGGAAGAGCCTGAGGAAGATGGTATCGATGAAGAACAAGAAAGATTACTGCGTGTCAGAAAGAGGAAGAATGGGAAAGCTCCACAAGTTGCAGAAGAAGAGAAGTGGGTTGAGATGTACAAGATTCTCTTTCCTGACGATGATCCAATTCCTTCTCCATGTAAGTATACATCTTGTCATCTCGACACTCAGTCACTAAACAGCTTCTCAGATCCCGAGTTGTGCCCTTTACAACCCGAACAAGGCACAGAACATCCCGGGGCGAACGTCTTAGACAACTTTGAGGACTATGCGCGACGTGAGTTTTCAAGACGCATGAGGCCCCGTATAGAGAGTTTAGTCGACGGAATTCTCGAGCAAACTCTCACTTCTCAAACGATCACCGATGTCGCCAACAATGTCCTCTCAGGCATTATGGAGTCTTTTCGCGATAGCCAAAGCCAGGAGACTTGCCAACCAGAATCTCAGGATTTGCCCTCGAGAAGTCCCAGCCCTCAGGGGATGCCATTTGAGAGCTCTACACAAGTGGTACAAGCAAGCCAAATTTCTGAAGGCCCGAATTCAAGCTTGGAGGTTGACTTGGATGAGATATTGAACTCTCTCGATGCTAACCAGTCTTTTGATTTTGAGCGTTGGGAAACGAAAGGTGAAGGCATAAACACATTTCATCCTTTTGGGCTCCAGGTCGAACAGTATATATAACAAGGGGGACGCGTGAGGAAGAGTCTCAGGGGGGCTAAGAAATGACCAGCCTAAAGTACCACTAACTTATCCTATACCTACCTAGGTATTTTTCTGCATTACGATGCAGGTCTGAAGTTTTATTGCGTGCCTAGGAGGAGCTATCCCGGTGGTATCTCAAGTTCTCGTATTATGTATATAGATGTGTCTAATCATGGGCTTTATGTGAAATTTATGACATGACCGTCAAACCCTGACATCTATAAATGTACCTTGTTCTAACTTTACGAGACAGTCCCTCTACTCTCTAAGACTCCGGGACGTATACACCATCCTTACACAAAACAACCACCTTCTTGAAGAATCGTCGCCATTCAAGAGGATCACCCTTGACCTTGACGAAGCGAATGTCAAGGACCTCCGTACCATCCGGCAGAGGCTGGCGATCCACTTGAATCTCGCCGTGCAAACTTTGTTGACGACCGTCGAGTGCTTTGACCTTTATCTTAGCGACAGGGTTGCCATGTGGATTAGGCGAAATATGCGTCGTGGGGACGTTCAGATGGTGGAGAGCATCGTTTATCATCTGGATGATGTGGGCCGGAGGCACAGCCGAGAAGAAGCGAGTAAGTGATTCTGGGGGACAAATGTCGCGGAAACGGCGAGCTTGCTGGGTGAGGGTCATAGAAGGACCAGGAGTCTGAGAGAATTGAGACATGGATGGCTCGTCGGCGAGTGTATCGAGCATTGCTCGGCTTGCATCGTGAGTATGTGGGAGTGACGAGGCTGGCGAGGCCATAGAGCGAAGTGGAGGACGCTCCCAATCCCAGTCCTTATCAGCGATTGGTGTCTCTGGCTGAGTAGAGGAGAATTTCCCGACATTCAGTCCAGTATCTATGTCCATATTGTCGCTGGAAGAAGGTTGTGATGTTGGGTGGTGGTTGAAGTCGATGCGGAGATTCTCCAGCATCTGTGTCGCCAAGTTGATGGGATCTGTGACTCGGCCGTCCGAGTTGAGGAGGGCATTGTGTCTTGTGTACCAAGGATGCTGGCGCACTTGAGTAAAGTTGAAGCGTTTTGATGAATCAATGCTCATCATCCCCCGTAGGAGAGACAGTGCTTCTGCTGGGACTCTCCCCCATAAGGCATCCGTACTGCGACCAGATGTTCGTACGTATTCCTGGAACTCCCAGCTGCTTTGTGAGGGCTCATCCCATGGTGTGTTGCCGACAAGAAGGACGAATAGAATAACACCGCAAGACCAAACATCGACCAGATCTGGTGAGTACTTGGCAGCGTTGGGTAACTTCTTGTCTGCACGCCCACAAGCAAGGATTTCAGGGGCGATATAAGGTGGGCTACCACATAGTGTTGAGCTTAACTTTCGCTGACCCTTGTACTCAAACATTGTGGCCATACCAAAGTCTGCGAGTTTTAAAGATCCATCTTGGGAGAGGAGAATGTTCTCAGGCTTGAGATCACGATGTGCCACGCCCTTGGAGTGCATGAAGCTCACGCCGCTGATGAGTTGAACAAAGTAAACTTGAGCAATATTCTCACGGACACCGACATCAGCCTCAATCTTGTCGAATAAGTCTCCGCCTTCCGCGTACTCCATGGCAATCCATCGCCATATGTCATCTTCTCCTGAAGCGAACCACTCGATAATGTTGGGATGCTGGCCAATGTGTGAATGCAGTGAGACCTCCATGGCCAACTGCTTGGTAGAAATTCGACCATGTTTAACAGCATAGCCCTTGTGAATGAGCTTTACAGCAAAAATTGGTGTTGGGGCGTCGAGGGGAATTGCTTTCTTGATGCTGTGTTGAGGTCAGTAGTGAACATCTCGGTTATCGTGAGTGAAACATGGGGTAAAACTAACGAGGCATATGCTCCTCGACCCACGGTCTTGGAGACGATTCGGAAGGGAAGATCCGTTGGTAGAGGGTCTAATTGTGACTGATTCATTGGTTTGTGTTAGTGAAGATGAGTCTAATGAAGTCATACAAAGATCGAGATTCACAGCAGATTGAGTAACTGTGACTAGGTATGACTGTGAATCATTCACAATCTCCTTGATACTGACGATCTGTCACTGGAGAAAAGCTTGATAGACGCTATGGATAGGGGCTAAAAAAGGAATGTCCGACTTACCATGGTGTAAAGGTAGGTGACTTTATGATAGTGTCTGAAATGTGTTGCTAATATTCTTGTTCAACAATGACCAATCGTTCAGTTGAGGAATATCGTCCTGATACTTCAAGACCAGAAGTTGCACGCGTTGATCCGCGTCTCTTCACCGCGTAAAGTGTTTTTTGTTGCTGTGAGACCCCGACCCAGGTCCCCTAAAGATAGCGTCACTTAGCGCCCTGTGCATCCCCTCACAGCACAAACAGGCCCTACAGTTTCAGCGCTGTTGCCTTGTATTGGATACCATTGGCTGTGGTGTCTCTGTTTCATTCACCTGGACCCTAGTCGCGCTGGTTGCTGCGGTAAACAGTTGGAGCCTTTTGATCAAGCTTGAGTTGAGAAGTCATTGCCCTTCCCTTTATTCAATTCTGTCGCAATCCAAAACAATCTAGTTATTGCACATCGTCTCACGTTTAAAGACAACTCAGAACCCAGGCCTTCTCTCTATTCGCTTTCATCCCTTCCCGCGTACGCCACAGCCAAACAAACGTCTTTTTGTCTCCCTCGATCCCGTCGCCCCTGCATTCGTCTACCTTCACCTCTTTCCACTTGCGGAATTGTTGTCTGTACATAAACAATTCGTTACCGCTCCCTAGCAACCTATAATCGCATCTACTCTTCTGCTGCTTTCTTGGTTGTTGGCATCTCTTCAGACTCAGTTTACTCGAGGAAACTACATCAGCATCAACATCTCACAATGGATTACAACATGGAGGATAGCCAGAACTCAGCTCCCGGCAGTGTCCAGGCCGCCAAGCTTAACTCTGGTCACAAGGGCCCTGACTCTCAGAGCACCACCAAGAGGTGAATACTCGTCCCGAGACACTATGGTCGCTATGGATGCTGACTCTAGACAGACTGCAGACCGAGCTGATGCAACTCATGACGTCGCCTGCTCCCGGCGTCTCTGCCTTTCCCGGTGCGGATGGAAACCTCCTCGCTTGGACTGCCACCATCGAGGGTCCCGACGATACTCCCTACGCTGGGTTGACCTTCAAGCTCAGCTTTGCATTCCCCTCAAACTACCCTTACGCCGCTCCTACGGTGCTCTTCAAGACACCCATCTATCATCCTAATGTCGACTTCTCTGGCCGCATCTGCTTGGACATTCTCAAGGACAAGTGGACCGCTGCTTACAACATTCAGACTGTTCTCCTGAGTCTTCAAAGCTTGCTTGGCGAGCCCAACAAGTACGTACACAATTCAAGCTTGACCATAACAATGTCACTAACGAATACTCAGTGCTTCACCCCTCAACGGTGAGGCTGCCGAGCTCTGGGATAAGGATACCAAGGAGTTCCAGAAGAAGGTTCTGGCACGCCACAGGGATGTTGAGGACGAGTAATTAGGTTTTACCAGGGAGGGGTTGGTGCTTTGATAATTGTATAAAGGAACAGGAGTACCAGGTGTACGGAATTTGGTTTGACTTGTTAGGTTACAGGATTGCATGGCATTTCCACAGCTGGTTTAACAGCGAAGGGAGGGGACTTTGATAGGGTCAGAAACATGTACACCATTGTCGATAGCAGACCCTCTAATCGACGATTCATAAAATTCGCATCACCACGTCAGAACGTAAATGATTATTTTCGCCCTCATAAAAAAAGCCTTGTCCATAGACCACTTCACGCCGAGGCACCTATTGTCGTTTGTGTTGACTTCAAGCTTTGATCACATTTTTTCCCTCTGTGTATATTCAGCGTCAAAAGCCAGAATGCCGAATGCAACTCCAAATGCCATGCCACCATAGATCCTGTCCCAAGAGAAACTTTTTTATATTTATTCCTCAACAACGACTGTGGCAAGACCCTTAGGGTTCTTGACGTTCACAGCCTGGACGTAGCTGTACAGCTTCTCCTTGGCACCCTCCTCGTCGTTTCGTCGTCGGGAAATTCGCACTCGGAGTCGGTAGTCAACACCCTTGATACCCTGCTCCCAGACCTTCTTGTTGAGCTGGGGGTCGATGCGGACGTCGGAGGTACCCTGTCGTCAAGGTTAGCACGTGTGATTCGAAAATGGCAACTTGGCCCTCTGCAATTGCTTCGCATTCGGCATCAGGCTCATGATATGGATAGTCGTACCATGGACTTGGTGGCAAAGGCCTTGATCTCCTTAATAGCACGGGGAGCCCTCTTCTTGAAGGTGACACCATGGAGCTTTTGCTCGTCAGCATTTATCCCAGATATTTCAAGCTCCGGTTCTCGGGCTATTCTTTGGCGAAGCAACGTACTCGCTTGTGCATGTGGATGGTGTACTCGCGGGCGACGACATCCGCGATGGCGGAGCGCTGAGTCTTGCCGGAGGGCTTCTTGGACGACATGGCTGGAAATATGAGGGTTAGTCCTTCGGTCGACGAAGTTGATAAAAGAATGAGTCGCTCGTGCTCGTAGTCTCTTGAGAGAAAAAGGACTGCGAGGGAGGAGAGGAGGGAGTATTGGTCGTACCTGCGGCTCGTCTCTTCGAGATTGGTCGTTAGGAAGGTGTGATGAAGTAGCTGGAGTAATTGCCAAAAATCTTTGTGCGTAGCCCTCGAAATCGGCAGGTACTCTGTGGGCCTGGCGAGCCAACCAGAGCGCAGCCCTGATGACCCACCAGGCTCTCACGTGATTACGGTCGATTCACGGTTCGGACAATCAGCTAATCCCAGATGGGCTAGAGGCGTTGTATGGTCCACGTTTAGCCTCCAGTGGTGTTTACCGCGAAGCAAGCATTGCATCTAATCTTGGCCGTTGCTGCATAACGATTCCATCATTCCAGCTTGGGGCAATTGATTTCAAGGCACCGCAAACATCGCCATCCTTTGCGCATAAGCGTCTCAATTCTCTCATTCAGAGACTGCTTTGCTTAGGAGAGTGTGCGGTTACTTCGACAAGACTTAGCGGCCTGTCGTCGGTCGTAATCAGGGGAACTTCGCGTACCCGGTCCCTTCCATAAAGGTTCCCGGCAGTTGCTCCGCGCGCCAGAAACGCCTCTTTCATTTTAACATTCACTCTCACCTTATCGACCGACAAGTATAATACGTTCGCCCGACATGGCCGAGCACGAACCTGTTACCACGATGGCATCGCCGTCGCCTCAGCCTGACATGACGAGAAACCGACTGCCTACGCTCTTTGAGGTCTTGAGTCGTCGCACTCTCCCTCCCGTCGACCTTTTCTCGTTCTATATCTACATGCGCGATCAGCAACGTTCGGTGGATTATCTTGACTTCTGGTAGGTTCATGCAGGATTGACTTTCCAGAGAGCTTAGCTGACATAGCCAGGCTCGATGTTGCTCAGCACATGTCGCTCTGCCGTCATTATGTTCGCGAACTTCGACGATCCGTCCTTATTGGCACTCCCGAAGCACAATCAAAACGATCTTCAGCTATCCTCGAGAATATTGGCGACTTGGAACCTAGAGCGGCAGGTCCGTCCATGTATGCGACTGAGAAGGAGAAGAACCAAGATGCGCAAATGTCTGCATTCCTTAGAGAGGACCAAAGTCACGATTCACCTCAGAGTGCCTCTGCGCCTGTTAGACCCAGCCCTCAGTTCAGCAACTCTCACGAAGTCACTACCGAATCCAACTCGCCCGCTCATACCGTTGCGCGACAGGATATCCGAGCCTCAGCTGAGAAAATTCTCTACACTTTCCTTCTTCCTGGAGCTGAGCGAGAAATCACCCTCCCAGGTTCTATTACTGCAGAGGTCACTACTGCCATCGAAGAGTATGGCCGCGACGATCCCGAGGTATTCGATGTTGCCAAGGACTATGTCTTCCAGGCTATGGAGCGAGATGCTTTCCCAGGCTTCCTTCGAATGAAGGCTCTAGGCAACCTTATCCCGCCTACGCTCATCATGCGACTTATCCTTGGTCTTATTGCCATGTTTGCCGCCCTCTGGGCTGCGTTTGTTCTCATTTTCCTTGATTACTCTCGTGCAACCAGATGCTGGGTAAGTTCTCATTCAAGGTAGCTCTCGAAAGCTTGCTGACTCTCAATAGCTCATCCTTCCATTCACCGTCGGTGTCTATTTCCTTGCGTCTTACCAATACTCTCTGGACCCTATCATGGCCCTGGTTGGTTACAGCGAGTACACCCCCTTCAACTTCTCTCGCATTCGTGAACCCTACGTTCGCACGCTCATCGCCAAGCGTGCTATCATGGTCCTCGCAGTGACTGTTCTCATTGATGCTGCACTCTGTGTTCTCTTCATTCTTGTTCCAGGAAAGCGTCTCTAAGCAACTATTTTTTTCACGTTCAACCGCGGTCACTAATGCCGGCCATTACTGGCCTTTCAAATTCCCATTAAAAGAAAAAGCCATCTCCGCGAGAATCTCTTTGGACATCATATCAATACTCACGACTGTAATGATCAGGGGCCTTGATTAAGCGGCAATACTATCCCCAGTCTCTTGATTGAGCTCGGGCGTTGCTTTCTGGAGGCTGGCGTACGGAAATCTACTGTTTAACAACCAGGTCTTCTTTGTAATTTAGCTATTCCCGGTCTGGAACATGATCCTGGGTCATTTCCGACCATGCGTTTTTCCTTCTTATTTATGACCTTATCGGGTCATTAGAATTAGTACAAGTCTCAGGGCGGCATTTTGTACGGATGTAGGGCTAATAAAAAGGCGTCATATCGTCTATTATGTCATGATTCTTCGTGATACATGTTTTTGCGAGCTTGACTTTTGGTTCGCCTGGCCCGAAAGAGGTGCTATCTTCACAGCTTGCGCTTATTTGCTCGTTTCTTCTCCTCTTCGGCCTCATCAACATCCATACTGTCGTTGTCCACCAAGTTACCTGTATCCATGACTGATCGCTTGTTAAACCCCCGTCTACCCAGGTCCCGTGTCATGTTTGGCAGATCGTACTTGCGTCCCATTCCCTCTTGTTGTTCGTTGATCAACTGCTGTAACTTCTCGTCAGCCAAGCGCTGCTCACGCTGTCGAGCTGCGGCTGTAGTTCGGATCTCCTTGATCTGAAGATCTAGGTCATCGAGAGTGGTTGTGCAGCGGTCAGACCATTTCTTCAGAGCAGCGGCCAAGTCAGGTATCGCTCCAGGGGCGAGATCACGTAGAGGCGCAACACTGGTAACCTGCACGACTGCACGAGCTGGGTCAAGCGTGGCGTGAAGTAGACCAGCGTAAACCGCCGAGATCACCAATGCCTCCACCTCACGTGCTCCGGGTAGATCAAGTGCTTCCTGTAGTGCACCATAGGAGAGATTCTGTCGGTCTCGGACCAGTGAGAGAAGCGATAGCTGCCGTAGCTTAGTTGCCTGTACTTCTTGGAGTGCTGGTAGGCCTTCTGTCGTTTTGTATGAAGAGTATGTTCCATAAGAAAATATCTGGAGAAGTTTGAGATGCGAAGAGAACTCTGAGTCGGCGAGATTTTGGATGGCGGGTGTTTGTAGGAGACCACTGAAGAGAAATGTGTTTGGTGCTGATGTAGCTCTGGTGACGAGATCGGCAGCTGCGCGGGGAGATGTAGCTGATTTGGAGAGAGCGATGAATGGCTAATGCATGTGTTAGTCAGCCTTCATTTTGCTTTTCCTAGCGACGCATACCTCCAGCGCGTTGAGAGCCTTCGTCTGCTCCATGATGTGTTGTGGTTGAGGCTACAGCCTCGGAGGGTAGATGACGGATATCAAGTACGTCACAGTACGGAGAGAAGCTGACGGGTAGTGACTGTAGTGGAAGTCCGTAAGTTCCTGCGCTCTATTATACCCTCCGGTTGGGGCTCGGGCCCAAGAAATAATCTATGTCGATAGTCGCAGCTTGTGCAAGTGTTAGGTCGATGAAGTTCAAGATGGAGCATCGGAGCTTAGGTGAGGCTGGAGCGCTAGGCAGAGCAGCATGTGGTGGGTGCGGGGCTCATGGGATGTGGGGTCGAATTAAGCCTGGTGGGATCTTCTAATGTGAACTCGACTACCCTGTACTGATATATTTTTGACAAATGATGCGTTCTTCGATCCTGTCGTGACTTGGACTTCTTTGGCCTGTACTTCATTTCTCATGTTATATGAACCCCCAAGAAACTGTCTTATTAGCTTTTGGTATCAGGGCTCGACACTGCCAGTTATGTTCACGCCATAGCACGTGTACCATATTGAATTCAATGTCAAAAGCGAACCCCAATTCATTCGCATGCGAACCAACACAAACCACAACCAGAAAACACTTTCTTTAAGGACAACCAAATGATACTCGACGTAATGTTCGAGTATGCCAATGGCCGCGTAAATCGCTTACAAACTCAATTCAACCCGTCAATCACCAAGGAAACTAATAAGAAGCCACCACATACGGTATACTAACCTAGCCACTGCTGGCCTTGTCTATGCTCTCTTGGGAACTTATTGAGTTTAGCTACAAGTGACAGCGAGTCTAGCGTTCGTACTGCTGATGGGCTGTAACGCAAAGGCATGCTGACTGCATGTGCAGCTGTAGCCCTACACGCGACACATCGACATCGATTGTCGGAACGTGGAACATCCGCCTGAAAGACCTCACAATTGGATTCTATTGCGTCTTACATCTAGTAAGACATTACTACTCCAAAAGACACACGATGATTGGCGATGGTCGACTAGAGGTTCACGGCAGAGTTGCGATCGACAATGACAGGAAATTGAAGATTGAACTCATGTTCAGTTCTAGCCAAGCTGAAGTCTTCCCAAAGAGAGGTCGGTGCGTCTAGTTCCGATAGTTCATGAAGGGTAAAAGCTGGTTGGACAGTCTGGGTGCTGAATGGTTGCAACTTGAATGATCGACACTTGCGCCTTTCAGGACAAGAGATGGCGCGATAAAAGGCCAGCTGAGAGTGAGCCATTGCAGAACTTTAGTTACCTTGTGACTGGGAAATAAAGGAGGGATAAGAATAGCTAAGGTAGTGATGAGGTATAAACATCAGCGGCCTTCGCCTTGTGGCTATGGTTGCACTGATCTCACTGATCTCACTCTTTTACAACCATTCACGGACTTCTTTGAACTGTCTGAGCATCTGTCACTGCTCACTAACAGATTGCGGCCAATCGACCAGGTTTTTGTTTAATAGCGGAGTCCCCTTGTCTCAGGTCTCAGCATTTTCCGGCCCCAAGCTACCTATTCATCTCCATTGTTCAAAGAGACCCTGGGCCTCGTTTGGGAATTTCTGAGTCTCTAGTGAAACATCCCTGCAAGCAAGAAATCTGGTGCTCCAGCAGTCGCATCTTTGTATTAAATCCACCAACGAGAGGTATCAGACCGTCTTGGATATCAGCGGAAACAGACCCCAAACTGGAACTTGACCGTATCAGCCGCTGAGCCAAGACTCGTCCCGGATGTGATGGTTTTTGGGCCTCTCGCCTCGCGAACTGTTTTGTTGGTGTTTCCTTGCTAATAGCAGTGAGTGTTTCCCCTGAATCGTAGTTAAAACGCCGAGACGCCGTCCTTTGGAATCTTGCTCATGTCATGTCCTTTTGTTCTTGGCCTGGTGTCTTCTTCTTGTTGTTCTTCTTCGTTTCTCGTACCCAAGTGGTCGTTCATTTCGTTCTCTTTCTTTCGTCTCACTAACGCCAAAAATAGCCGACATACGTACGTACACACATACATCAGCAATTGAAGCCGGTCTTCGTGGTCTTAGTGGCGCATTTGTCATCAACTGGCATAAGCTGTGACCTTCCAGTCCGGGCTTGATACAGTATCTGATCTTGGCCTCCGATTTCCTTGTTCGTCCAACACTGCGACTCTTCTTCTTTATCTCTTTTTCTCTCTTTCTGCCGAGCTGCTGCTCGATTTATTGCTTGCGTCGAATCTCCACCAAATTGAAATGGTCGTGGCTGGACGATTGAACTAGAACCCGTTCATTCCATTATTAGCAACCAACCACCAAACGAGTCTAACCGCGAGAGTGAGACCCAAGACCACAAGTGCCGTTCATCCCGCTTTCCGCCGCCATTTGGCAATCAATCTTCAACTCCAAAATCTTTTGGCTTCTGAGGATCGCAACATATTCACGATCCTCGAGTCGAGGCTCACGAGCCACAAGCCGTTGCGATGGCTCCCACCTACATCCAAGTCCCTAACAAGGACACAAATAATGTCGCGCTCTCCGTTCCGAGGAGTCCCGGCGCCGGCGCCCATCTTGCTACGACGACACTTCGAGTGGACGGCATGACGTGAGTTTGATCATAGTTCTATTCTTTTCCTTAACGTCCGCCGGCCATCCCGGGACTCAGTTATGGAGTTTCGTCCGGCTTTTGCGGCCCCCTGCCAAGTTTACGCGACATGTTCGGGAATATATCACTGACCCTGTTTCCTCTATAGATGCGGCGCATGTACTTCTGCTGTTGAAGCTGGCTTCAAGGGCGTCGATGGTGTTGGAAACGTTTCAGTCAGTCTGGTTATGGAGCGAGCAGTCATCATGCACAACCCTCAAGTTATCTCCGCCGACGAAGTCAAAGACATTATCGAAGACCGAGGCTTCGATGCCGAAGTCCTCTCCACCGACCTCCCCAGCCCTGTCGCCAGACGCTTTACACACAACCAAGATGACAATGAGTTTATTACGACAACTATCGCCGTCGAGGGCATGACCTGTGGAGCCTGCACCTCTGCCGTTGAAGGTGGCTTCAAAGATGTTCCTGGTGTCAAGAGCTTCAGCATCTCATTGCTCTCCGAGAGAGCTGTTATCGAACACGATCCCGACCTTCTCACTGCCGAACAAATCGCCGAAATCATTGAAGACCGCGGCTTTGATGCTACGATTGTCGACTCGGGCAAAGTGGTGGCTGACAAATCTGGCAAGGATGCTGAAAATGCCGGCAATCTCGCCATCACGACAGTAGCAATCGAGGGCATGACATGTGGTGCTTGCACATCAGCTGTCGAGGGTGGATTCAAGGACGTAGAAGGCGTCCTCAAATTCAATATCAGCCTTCTCGCGGAACGAGCCGTTATTACACATGATGTTACCAAACTCTCGCCGGAGCAAATAGCGGAAATAATCGACGACCGTGGCTTCGACGCGGAAGTTATTTCTTCACAACCGACCAATGATCATCATAGCGGGTCATCGTCCACGGCACAGTTCAAAGTTTATGGTGTTCCCGATGCGGCTGCAGCAGAAGCTTTGGAGGCTGAGTTGACGGCCATGCACGGCGTCGATTCAGTTTCGGTGAGCCTTGCTTCATCACGCCTCACCGTCACTCACCAACCTGGTGTTATTGGTCTTCGGGCCATCGTGGAAGCTGTCGAAGCTAAGGGATACAACGCCATTGTGGCCGATACCCAAGACAACAATGCACAGCTCGAGTCACTTGCAAAGACACGGGAGATCAATGAGTGGAGGACGGCTTTCCGAACCTCTTTGGCTTTTGCCGTCCCGGTCTTCATTCTGAACATGATCTTGCCTATGTGCGCGCCATCTCTCGATCTTGGCAGGTTTGAGTTAATTCCAGGCCTCTATCTGGGAGACATCATCTGTTTAGTCCTTACGATACCCGTCCAATTCGGCATTGGAAAGCGTTTTTATATTTCAGCATGGAAGTCAGTCAAGCACCGCTCACCAACAATGGATGTTCTTGTTATCCTCGGAACGTCTTGTGCCTTCTTCTTCAGCATTTTGACAATGACGGTTTCTTTACTTTTGCCTCCTCACACCAGGCCAAGCACTATTTTTGACACCAGCACTATGCTCATCACATTCATCACGCTAAGTCGTTACCTTGAGAATAGCGCCAAGGGTCAGACATCCAAGGCTCTTTCTCGGCTCATGTCTTTGGCACCCTCTATGGCTACAATCTACGTAGACCCCATTGCTGCTGAGAAGGCTGCCGAGGCTTGGGGTAAGGACCCAACTACTCCCAAAACGCCAGGAGTTGGTGGTTCAGCTCACGAGGAGCGGTCTGTTCCTACTGAGCTTCTCCAGCTTGGTGATGTCGTCATTCTGCGACCTGGTGATAAGGTGCCTGCCGATGGTGTCCTTGTCCGAGGAGAGACCTTCGTAGATGAGAGCATGGTAACAGGTGAAGCCATGCCTGTTCAGAAGCGAACCGGCGATCACGTCATTGGCGGATCCGTTAATGGTGACGGTCGTGTTGACTTCCGAGTCACTCGTGCCGGTCGTGACACTCAACTCAGCCAAATCGTCAAGTTGGTTCAAGATGCTCAGACCAACCGGGCACCTATCCAGCGACTCGCCGATACTATTGCAGGGTATTTTATTCCTGCTATCCTCATTCTTGGCTTGAGCACGTTTCTTTGCTGGATGGTTCTCAGCCATGTACTTGCGAACCCACCCAAAATCTTTTTGCAGGACGCCAGCGGTGGTAAGATCATGGTCTGCGTCAAGCTCTGCATTTCCGTCATCGTTTTCGCATGCCCTTGTGCCCTCGGTCTAGCTACACCTACTGCCGTCATGGTTGGTACTGGCGTTGGTGCCGAGAACGGCATTCTGATCAAAGGTGGCGCTGCTCTCGAGAGATGTACCAAGGTCACACAGATTGTCCTTGATAAGACTGGTACCATTACCTATGGCAAGATGAGCGTTGTCGAGTCTGTTCTCGAGTCCGAGTGGCATGATAATGAATGGCGGCGTCGACTTTGGTGGGCCATTGTTGGTCTTGCTGAGATGGGCAGTGAACATCCCGTTGGAAAGGCCATCCTCGCAGGAGCTCGACAAGAACTCGATATTGAGGCCGATGGTGTTCTTGAGGGAAGTGTCGGCGAGTTCAAGGTCACTGTTGGCAAGGGTATTAACGCTCTGGTTGAACCTGCATCGGCTGTTGACCGTAACCGATATCGGGCGCTCGTCGGTAACGTTGCTTTCCTGCAGGAAAACGGCATTGAGGTTCCCGAGGATGTTATCGAGGCATCAGAACAACTCGCCCCCAGCGCAGCCAAGGCTTCTAACAAGGGACCTGCCACTGGTACCACTCACATCTTCGTGGCTATTGATGGCAAATACAGTGGCCATCTCTCTTTGGCTGACTCTATCAAGGAGGGTGCTGCTGCTGCCATCTCGGCCCTTCACAAACTGGGTGTGAAGACAGCTATTGTTACTGGTGATCAGCGATCCACTGCCCTCAGTGTTGCTGCGGCTGTGGGCATTCCTCCCGAGAATGTCTATGCCGGAATGAGCCCCGACCAGAAGCAAGAGATTATCAAGCAAATTCAAGAACAAGGCGAGGTCGTTGCCATGGTCGGCGACGGCATCAACGATTCACCTGCACTTGCAACTGCTGATATCGGTATCGCCATGGCCAGTGGCACAGACGTCGCCATGGAAGCCGCCGATATCGTTCTCATGCGCCCGACTGATTTGATGGTTATTCCTGCGGCGCTGGATCTCACTCGGTACATTTTCCGTCGCATCAAGCTGAACCTTGCCTGGGCGTGCATGTACAATGTTATCGGTCTGCCAATTGCCATGGGCTTCTTCCTGCCCATTGGTTTCCACATGCACCCCATGATGGCTGGTTTCGCCATGGCGTGTAGTAGTGTCAGTGTCGTCGTGAGCAGTCTTTTCCTCAAGTTCTGGAAGCGTCCCCGATGGATGGATGAGGCTGCCGCTGAGAAGAGCGGTGGTCTTCGCTGGAGGAGTGGAAGAGGTGTTGTAGGCTGGGTGCGAGAGACGCTGGGTAGGGGACGAGTTAAGAAAGAGGAGGGTTATGTGCCTTTGGAAAATATTGAGACGGAAGCGTAAGAAATTTTATTTTGTTAAGCGATGGAGTCATGATGCTTGGTATATGTATCGTCTTGAAAGTTACCTTATATATCGATGATATCCTAGAAAGAAAATAAGAGCGAGCATATGGACATACATGATTTTTTACCTGACCAGACAATTTGCTCTTGCTGGCCGTTTACATTATATAAATATCAAGAGTGTTGTTTATCGGGCCTTAAATGTTAGAAGTCATGATATATGAAGGTTTCTCTTTGTTTGTCGCATGTTGGTCGTATGTTTGCAAGTCCCGTACATGCCGTAAATGTTTTGTATGTGAGCTAGGAGCACAACTGATAACGCCATTTTCTGCCTCTCCAACACGGGAATAGTGGAATTGTTGAATACCAATGAATGATTGAGAGCCTAAACATTCAAGATAGCCTGGAATACAGCTTTGTCGTTCGTGATTGGGCAACTTTGATTCAGACCTCCCTCCAGTTGGAGACTTGATCGGATCCGGAGAATCTCCCTTGAATACAAGAACCAACGGTCACGGGAAGTCAACGGAATGTAAATAGATAAGGGCGGGCAGATGAAACAGTCATGGCGCAAGACCAGAGAGATATGAAGACTTGAAGTGTTGCGTGGCCTTGGATTTCGGAGCATAGATATCTGCATAAGTAGACATTGTGACTATTAGAGAACGCAAGTCTAGACGAAATTGATCCTCTAGATCCTACACTGGAGCATCAAGATCGACATTATGTTGCCCTGGAATATTGATAATTAATCATCATTGCAGAAATCACGGTTACATTTCCCGTCAGACTATGTATTAGCATCCCTGCCTCGCCATCCCCATAAGGCGACATTCTTCGAACTAAAAGCTCCTGTCCGGAAGGATTCTAGCATCATAAGCAGGGGACTTCTGTAAGGGCGGCATCGGCCTTCCGGGGCTGAGACACAATCAGATCCTTGCATTCATAGACTCATCTTCTGAATCAACCCAACGGATAGTGACAAATAAAAGTTATCGAGAATCTGAGACATAAACTAACAAGAATCTCAGGGGCTGTTTCGTTGGAATTCTGATACTGGCTGCCAAGAACAAATTATCGGATCAACGGTAAATGGAGTCTCGTGGAGTGGGAGAAAATTGGATTGCTGTGCAAATCGTAGGAATCTGCCAAGGCTATTCAAACCTGTTAAGGCGCTTGAGTTTGAGGCGACGCAACAATGAATGAATGAATGGGGCGGAAACAACGGCTTTGGATGGCGCCAAAGTCAACGGCCTCTTTACTCCTTTTTTTAGTTCCAGGAATTGGTCTCGTGACAGCTTTTGAATGGTGTTTTCTCCTTCTTTTTCTTTATACACATCAAAAGGAGATATCCGTCTGACATTCTTTGCATGCAGATGTGGTTCGTATTGCTTACTGATAATCGTATTGAGGTCCAATCACGGACTGACCTCAACAACTAAACGCTTACAGTCTCATAAGAGTGTTGATCTTTCTGAGTGCCGTTAGAGATAGAGAGCAAGTGCCGATGAAATATAAAAATAGCCATGAATACGCGGAACAACTGTCCATCGTCTTCTCCCACTGTCCCTTGGCCTACGTAACCCCAAGCTTGCGTATGTATGCTTGATGATAGACGGGTTTCCTGGTGCTTGGCCCGTTTCACGACAACGCGGCTCAACACGTACATGTGCGGGTATAAATCAACTCTAACTAGAGAATGACGTGCCCTTCTCGCTTGTAATACCTCTAGAGATTGAGTTATGTCCACATGAGATCCGTGCTGCGAGAGTGGGTGTAGAGAATACTACGAACAAATACCGAGCACAAACGGGTTCTGTTTTATTGTTACTAGAGTTTTATTATACCCACTTAGAAGAAGAAATTCCTTTTCTCCGTGACCATGAGATAACCTTGCCCTGAGGCCTGAGCAGTCTGGGCCAGTCTCAGAGTCTGTTCAGCTCCATATTCGATATTGTATCAACTCATATCAGCATAAAACTACTGACGCCTCACTCATTAGCCTACTTCACCCAATCCAGTGACTTGCTAGAATTGTCAACACGAGATGCTGTGATTGGTCTGAGATGCTGTATTCCTGGTCTGCAATGAGATGCCCCCGCCCCCTTTTCTGATTAGAGTAGAGTACCATCGCGTTAGGTTCTTCTGAACCCCTGGACTACACATGTACAGGTAACAGGACCACGTTCCAAAGGCGGTAATAAAAACGATTTATCGAAAGTCCTTTCCTCCATTAGGTCATTGGAGGGAGTAGTCCCGAGTCTTCATTCAAGCATCCTTGTAAGCTTGTTTGCTGAATGAATTGGGTTTGCGTTGGTTGGTGAAGGGGGAGAAGATGAGATTGATCCTCTAACGGTTGTACAGTGGAGAGGCTTCTAACCTCTATCCGTGGCAGTGGAGGTACTGGTAATAGCCCGGTGAGATCTGGTGCGGAACTCTATCAATCACTACTGTCACTGCCTATGTAATAGCGATCACCTTAATTTCCCGCTGCAGGATTCAAGAATCCAATCCATTTGGAACAATAACTAGCCCACCCAAGCATCCATTGCATGGCTAATCAAGGCTGGTTATGGTTACTGCGAGCAGGTTCCGCCAATGCTGACAGTTGTTCGCTAAATCTTGACACAGACGCCACAAGGTACCTCGCCTCAGTGTACCTCGACTCACACTCCAGTGGCTTTTTCCTCCAAACTCCGCACCCCGATCCAATAGCTTCGTTTTTGTAAGCCGCTTGCAAGGCCCTGCCGACTACTCCCTTTAGCAAGCACCCCCGCTATCAATCACTGAAGACTCCGAACCTCCCCGTAGATATTGATTTGGGGGGGTACAGATCACACAGGTACAGTAAGCCTGAGATCCTTTTTTTGGGCTTGTCTCCCTAACTAAAAACCTTCTCCCTTTTTCTACCTCCCAACTCTTTTCGTCTTCTTCCCCGTCCCGTCACTTTAAACTCTCTCTTATCCCTCCTTTTCAGGCCCCTTTCGAAAGAAACATCTCTTCACAACTTTCTCTTCTTTTTTGTGTGTGCGTGTTGTGCAAGATCATTTTCTTACCTGGGATCAGTACTTGATTTTTGCCTGTCTCCATATTCATCTCCCTGTCTGGGTCCAATCGCTCGCTTTATCCCATCATATTACGCGCCTCCGCCCCCTTCTCCCTTGGCTTGGCCCCTGTATTTTCTTTCGCTTCCATCTATCTCCGTGTTACGTTTCCACTTAACAACTACCTACAACTACATCAAAGACTCGGCTGCACCTTGGTCTGCATTTGCATTTTGTCGGTAATCGACTGCGCTTGCGGATTTCTTAGTCGGTTCATCGTTATTGATTGAGTCGACACCGGGTTATGCTAGACACCCCACGATATCCTTAACCTTCGTCAACGGTACCTGATCGCATCCCCACGAATCTCCGGCGCATCCATCACCATGTCTTCCCGTCCTAATAACGAGGAGCCTCTTCCTCTCCTCTCCGCCGAGGAGAGAGAGCGTGATATCAAGGGCGAGCTCGATGTCGAGAGCGACGCTGGCCGAGCCGAGCCTCCCAAGAACAATAACCTTGAGCACGAGTACTCCATTCCCAGTACCGTCAAGTTCGCATGGCTCGGAACCTACTTTTTCTTCTCTCTGCTCCTCACTCTTTACAACAAGCTTGTTCTGGGAATGGTAAGTTGACGACATCAACCGCACATGGCACCCTGATAGTCCAAAGACTAACATGCGCTTCCTATAGTTCCACTTCCCATGGCTCTTGACTTTCCTCCACGCCTCGTTCGCCAGTATCGGTACCTATGTCATGATGCAAATGGGTTACTTTAAGCTCTCACGATTGGGGCGTCGCGAGAACCTCGCCCTCGTTGCTTTCAGTGCTCTCTTCACTGCCAACATCGCCGTTTCCAACTTGTCTCTCGCTATGGTCTCCGTTCCCTTCTACCAGACCATGCGCATGCTCTGCCCGATCTTCACCATCCTTATCTACCGCACTTACTACGGCCGAACCTACAGCACCATGACATATCTTTCTCTCCTGCCTCTTATCATCGGTGCTGCCATGACCACCCTGGGTGAGATGAGCTTCACTGACGCCGGTTTCCTTCTCACCATTCTTGGTGTCGTGCTCGCCGCTCTCAAGGTACGCCCTTTCCTGGCATGGCTCAAACTCTTTATTAACCATTTTATAGACTGTCGTCACCAACCGATTCATGACTGGATCTCTCGCTCTCCCCCCGATCGAGTTCCTCCTCCGCATGTCTCCTCTCGCTGCTCTTCAGGCTCTGGCTTGTGCTACTGCCACCGGTGAAGTCAGCGGCTTCCACAAGCTCATCACCTCTGGGGACGTTTCTCTCCCCCCCGCTTTCGCCTCGCTCTTCGGAAACGGATTCCTCGCCCTTCTGCTCAACATCTCGTCTTTCAACACCAACAAGCTTGCTGGTGCTCTGACCATGACCGTCTGTGGTAACCTCAAGCAGTGCTTGACCGTTGCCCTCGGCATCTTCCTCTTCGACGTGACCATCGACCTGCTTAACGGTGCTGGTATGGCCGTCACAATGCTTGGTGCTGCCATCTACAGCAAGGCCGAACTCGACAACAAGAACCGCAAGAGCCAACAGGCTGCTGCCGCCGCTTACAAGCCCGTCGAGCAACAGGCTCGGTAAACTTGGTGCGCTATTGAGATCGGATATTCTCACTTTTAATACATGACCTTTTTATAGACGATCGGGCGAGTGAAGACTGGCAAAGGCGAACTGCTTCTTTTTCGGCGTCTTTTTCTTCGCTTCTTGGGATCTCTGCTGGGTGTGTAGCATGGATCGACATCTGGTAAAATTCTATTCGTACTTGATATCCGGCGGCCCCCCGCGGACTCGCCCACCACGAAGCAGGATCGGGAGGGGATTGGAGACTGAGGGATGTTATTACTATCATGATCATGGGCTATGGGTTTTTTCGAAAATGTGCAGGCCCGGGAAACTATGTGGCCTTTTCCGTACAACTTTGGT